TTTTTTTTTTTTTTAATTAAGAGACATCTTATTTCATCTTCAAATAGAGTTTGCTTTTAAGGAGAATAAGTAGTAGTTTCTGAAGTGTCTAACTCATGCAAATATTCTTCTGGCCAAGATAAAATATATCGACATTTTTGTCATTTTCTTACACTGTTTGCTTTGTATGGACATAGAGAACCTGCTTGTAATAAAATTTACAGTATTCAGTTCTCTTTACAGTTTTTCCTAAGTCAGCAATTAAAAAAAAAAAAAATCACACATAAGCATTGGCATTCATGTGTCTAACTTACAGAAAAAGCAAAATACCACTAAACATATGTGCTAGACCCTATTTTATAAAAATCTATGAGCACAGATTTAGCGTTGATGCTAATGAGGACTCAGGAAAAAAATTAATATGTCTCTACATTCCACCTAAATGTAGAAGAAACAGTCTAGGAAATTAAGGGAATAACTAAGGTTGTGCATTCTTCTTCCTGTGACAGAAGCACTTAAATGAATCATAGAAATCACCCTTCATACACATATATGTTAATGGTTGCCCATCCCAATTCCCACTAATTTTACCTTCTTTCTACAAATGCAAGGATAAAGTTTATGCAGTCATATCTCCTAAATTTCACTCTTTTCTAATTCTGACTTTTTGCTGCTTTTAGGAATAGGAAAGTAAGCAACTTTTTTTTTTGAGCAAAGATGACCTATTCAGGACTTAATATTGGGAAAGTGAGAGCAAGACTACAAACAGCTAAAACTGGGAATTTCCAGTTTAACGGAAAATGCTGGTATTTTGATTATTTTGAATCAGAACAAACTATTTCAAAATTTCCCACAAAGCAGAAATTAAAAAAAAAAACTAAAAAAATGCTTTCAAAAATGTTGAAACACATTTTGTTTGAGCTTTTTAGTTTTGTTTATTTCATGTTAAATTTCATATTTTGTATTTTTGTTTTACAGTTGTAACTATAGCTCATCTCATGACACAACTAATATGTAACTTCCATAATATAGTATAATTTTTTTTAATTTAATTGTTCATATTGTGAACAATTATAACCAATAGTTGATGTATATTTCATTTGAGTAGGAAAATGTGATCAATATTTGGCTTTCTATTACTCTCAGCATGTTTCTTTCAGAAAGCAAAGAAAACCCCATGTTAAAATAAAGATATCAAAACAGTAGCTACTTTAATTAATGCTGTACATTAACATTTTAAAGTAATTTTATCTTATTCATGACAATATTTTCACCATACACCATCAGTTTACAAGTCCATGGATTAATTTTGAGCTGTTACTAACATCATTTTTTTTTACCACTGCTACCTATAAGCCGTTCTGGATCCTGGACTTTCTCACACATCCAACCTTCTCTGGAAGCACTCATGTTTCTCTTGATCAGCAAATACAAAGATTTCAATTTCTGTGGTCCTCCCTAAAACCTAATAATGAAGCTTGCACTCTCCTTGTTTTGCTCAAATGAGAAACTGTTTTTCAAGGCACTGCTTTGTCCTTGGTGTCTCTTCAATACTGACAAAGCAATGACAGCTCAGTCTGCATGCCCTCATCCTTCCCATTAAATTTGTTACTTGTATTTCATCTGGTGATGATGCTGCTTGGGTCACCATTATAAAAGGTGTTGGAGGCTTTTTTTTAAAAAAAAAAAAAAAAAAAAAAAAAAGTTCCTTCTCTCAAACCAATTAGCAATTTTTTTTTTTTACTTTTAATTAGATGAAAGGAATTTTCCACCATATACTTCACTAATCACTAACTTCAACACAGAATTCCATATTAATAAGATACTCCCCTTCATCTCTTTCTCCAAAGACAGATTTGTTTTGGCCATTTTATATAATGAAGAACAGCTGTTTGCCAGCCACTCTGTTTATTGCCTTTTTCCAGCCTCTCCTAAACCATGCCCTACCACCCTCTCAGTGATATCTGTTACAGTGGTTCTATCTAATAGAGTGGTTCTGTCTTGGTTTTCTATAGGAAAACTTGTAATATCAGTGTAAAGAAACCCAAACAACAGCTACAAATAATTCCATTTGGTAAGAGTGATCTAACAGAGAGGAATGACAAAGGCACACTAGTTCAGGCATTTTTAGGTATTGTGGCAATGTTCTTACCTTTTAAGAAAGGATTCAAGTAGGGACAATATATTAATAAGGATAATTGGATATTTTTGTATTTGTTATCTTCTATAAAACAGAGTTGCCCCTGGACACAAGAGATCTACAGCATTAGTGTGTGTTGGTGAAATCATTGGAGTATTAAAGTACAAATATGAGGGTCAGGACACATAAATACACATAAATACCTCGTTCCATCTCTCACATATTTCATATATCTTTTTGGCTACTATAATGCTGAAAGTTATACTTAAGAAGCCAAACAAGGATATATATACTTTTAATGTATAATTTTAATATATACTTTTAGCTTTTTAATGTTGAATAGCTACACACATTCCAATTAGAAAACTGTACATATTTTGTAAATACTTTGAAAACTGCCATAAACTCTGTAGTTTACAGGTGCATTTTATTTAAGGGAATGTATACAACTGCATGAGCATGCAGACACATAGTACTTTATTTAAGTGGTTAAAAAAAGGAGTTATTATATTTAACAAGGGAGAAGTGAACTAATCTCCAATAGTTAAGTGACTGCTATACTGACTAGAATACTATCACCACCATAGAAGCTATATTTAGGAAACTAGTGATCCCCAGATCAGTATGCCCTAAGGGATTTTTAATTTTCTGTAAGAAAAAAAAAAAACAAAAAAAAAAGGTCTATGTGAAGAAAAGCACTGCACTAAGTCTAAAAATCTGTGATGGAAACCTTTCTTGAATCTCTTCTGTTTTCCTGCCTTTTCACAATACCATTTTAAAACAAGAACCAAAAGAAAGAAGTGAAGTGTGACAGAACCTTAGGCTGGTCAGGTGTGCCGAGAGTGGCTCTGTGGAGAGAACCAGCATCACCAGTTGTTAAGAGATGCTATAATTCTCTGATTTCCCTGACAGCCCAAAGCTGAATCCTTCTACTGCTTGCTGCTCTCATGAGCAAGAGAGGCCTGCTGAAACCTAGGAGAAAGCAAGCAGTGAGGAGTGAGAAGAGCGTCTGAAGCCCAGACAGCAGGGAGGTTATGAAGGAGTGTATTCCTTCTCTTATTTAGGAAGGAAAAGGCAGAAGTGTGTGCACCCATCTGTAGTACTGCAAAAAGTAAAAAAAAAAAAAAAAAAAAAAAAAAAAAGGTAAAGATTATCAGAGCTTTCTAATTTGTCTTCCCACATTCTTCTCTAAGGCTAGTGGAATGAGTGATAGATGTCCTGTGAGTTGCAGCAGGCTTCATCAAGGTATGTGCAGAATGGTACCACCATTCAGTGACCTCTGAAATGCAGAGGGGAGAATAAAACAGAGCAGAACATTAAAACACAGCACCTGCAGTACAAATGCACATCAGAATAACTTGAAATATTAGTATTATCTGAACTAATTAAACTTACCTCCAAGACCCCTGTGCTTCTGCCATGATGGTACATTAGAAGAAATCCCTTCCAAAGATTATTCAGCTTAGCTAACCATACATTGTTTAAAACTGCACAGAGCAGAGTATTAGCCATTCATAGAAGACACAAATAACTAAATGTGTCCTTTCTGCCTGGCAAGCACCCTATAGTTCAAGGTGGATCTCAAAACTGACAACAGATCTGGGCCAACATGATCTCAATTGTTATTTTCAATAATAAAGTACAGCTAGCACCTCAGCGTGCAACCCTCACTTAGTGGAAGCAGACAGGGACAAAATGCAATGTTCTGAAAGAGCTTTTATGGAAATCATGCACTGCTTGTGACATGTGTTTGGTCTCTGGAGATGCAGCCTTGTTTATTCCTCTACTTTTAAATGCCATCTTCCAAACTCAAAGGGTAACAAGTCTAAACTGTGTCTATAAAACAACATCACAACTTTATTCTCAATAGCTAAGTATTGAAATGCAAGCATACATTATAAATAGAAAAACAGCTGGCTTGGAGCACATTGCAAGCCACTAATACAGTTGAGGGATTTGAATGACATCATAACCCGTGAGAGCATGTTGCTGGCCAGCTGGTGTTATTTATAATATACTCATAATTGAGGAAAAATAAAAAGACAGAAGTTAGGTATTGCAGAACTAATAAAGTTGAATTCTCTCTTTCCCAGTGTCATTTAAATTGTTATCAAGAGAAATTCAAAGATTACTACTAAAAAGGGGGGGCAATCGCTTTATAATTACAACAGCAGATTTAAGATAAATGTCATGGAAGCCCCCCAAACTGGGCTACTTGTGTTACTATATTCATAGTTTAGTAAGTTCTAGGAAATTACATTAATTCTCCTGTGTGGTTGTTGAAAGATCACAAAGCTATTTTGCCCTATTTACAAGGAGTTCTCAACAATTCTGTTATTTTTAGCAAATTACAAACTGCTGTTTTAGGGTTAATCACGGAGAGAGCTGGAGGTTTTAATTGGTAGTCAGCATATAGGCGTGCCAAGTTTCATAACGTAAAGACACATTAAGGGAAAAGTAGATAACTGCCTGCCTGTCTTTTTGTACTATACAAATAAAATACCTATGCTGCTATGCATAAATAAAATGTGTGTGTATATATATATACACAAAGGTATGCATATATACAAACATTGCCCATAGGTATTTAGGTTTTCATATATTTGAAATGCAGACACACACACACATAAATACAAAAGCACACACAGCCACCTGAAAGTCAACCAGAATACATTTTCTTATTTTTCATGGCAGCACAAGCTCTTTTTGTCTGCTATCGCCTCAGTCACTAATTCACATTCTTTTAAAGGGAAAAAAATATGCTTCTGTGCTCTAGTTTTAAAATGCAAAGGTATGATGTTATTTGTCACCATGCCCAAAAAAGTCCTTACTCGGTAACTTTGCCAGAAGAGGGAGAGAGAGAGAGGCAAATGCTCCCCCAGCTGTTTCCTGTCTACAGTGTCTGTGTAATGTAGATAAATGTGAGGATTTTCTCTAAATCCCTCTTCTGTTTGCTAAATCTCACTGTCACTGCTAAAATCAGAGCAGATAGAGCCTGCGCAATGGAATAAAGTCCTCAATATTGAAATGTGACATTGCTCTCAACATCTCACATCTCTCTGGATTTCTTTTTTCTCATCATTACTGCTAACAAATTCATTTCCAGACTTTGCACTTTCAAGAAGCAATGGAAAAAATCAACAGTCTTTCAACACAATTAGTTAAGTGCTGCTTGTGTGATTTCTTGAAGGTAAATCTTTATTACTATTTCAAATAATTTTTTAGTTTTATTTTGCTGTGTATTGTCTGCTACTGGCTTGAGGAGTATTGTGCACTTTTCAATAACATTATTTTAGAACTGAGAATTATTTATAAATTGCTGAACATGCAATTTTATGTGATCTGGAAAATGGCTGTATGTAATAGTTGCAATTACATAGATAACTGTAAGGGTAAACTATTGCAAATACATGTCTTAAATTTCACTTCTATTCAGAGAACTTTGTAATATTTCAGTTATGTCATTATTAAAAGGTCCACTTACATCATTTTCTATATTGTTAATGACTGCTTCTGAAAACAAGAACTTTTAGCTGTTTTCTGCAGGTGCAGGGTTTTATAGGAAAAAAAGGTACTATTCACATGTTAAGTTTCTGCAGTTTTATTATACACAGTTAGAGAGAAAATGTTCATGCTTTCACAAGGAAACTTTTAAGGGATGTTGTCACTGCAGCAATTTTCTGGCAACATCGTGGCATTTACTTGGTTTTTGCTTTCATAAATTAAAAGTAAATGAGAAGTTCAGTTTGTTTTCTACATTAGAAACCAGCTGCGACTCTTGCTGACCTTGCATATTTGTACAGCTTAAGCAATTGTGCATAAAGAAAATGGAAATTCCTTTACATGTTCATCTCCAAGTTTTCCCTCCTAGGGAGGGCTTTCTCAGGAAAGTTTGCATGTGAAGTTTGATGTTATGACCCTATAATTTCTGCACAGTAATATAAACTGTCTTAAGGTAAATTTTACTTCAGTAGGTGCATTGACCTCTGTTTCTGTCAATTGGCTCTAGTCCAACTTTCCATTATCTGCAAATTTATACCCTTCAAGAACTTTTTTTCCCCTTAGTATTTTGCAAGGATATTTATGTAGTTGAAAGAATTCTCTTATTTTAATTGCTTAGAGAGTAATATTTTTTTAGTTGTTCTTACACTTAAAACACACTTATCTCATTCCTTAATGACCTAATTACAGATCTGTAATTGCAAGGGATGAAATCATTCCCTTAATGTATAAATGGGCATCCTTTCCAACATACTTGAAAGAAGAAGGGTTGGGGTTTTTTTTTAAGTATTGAGCAAGGCACTAAGAGACATAAAAGTAATGTGCTAGTTCCTCAGCTGTGCATCCTGCCAAGCTTCCTTGGAATCAATGGAACATATTGATTTAGGTTAGCATGTAGCCCAGATTCCTTGCTCAAAGTTAACAGTATTTAAGCCTTGATCCACTCCAGAGTATATATGCTTTATTTATATAACAATTACTAGTGAATACTGATATTTCATAATAATTGCACATTTCTACTATGGCTTGATAATCAGGCCCAACCCCTCTGGAATAAAATGTAATTTTGAACATATAACTCTTGATTTCTTGCTGTAGCATATAGTCTCCAAAAAAATGTTGCCTCCTGCACAATACTTATAATTCTTGCAGATGTTCTTACATGTTACTGAAATGACCAAGCATGTGAATAATTCTTATATACAACTTGTGTCAAGTGGTAATTTGTTAAATGAAGGGGACTTACATAGAAGAATTAAGAAGTGAATGAGATGTAGAGTGTTCATATATGACATTCCTTTGTAGTGCTTCTCTTTTGGACTACTAAAAGAGGAATGTAGCAAAAGTTGGCTATTTTACTGAAAAAAGAGGAAATTCCAGCTGTAAAAATATGGTCAGTCATTCTATGCAACTAAAAGAAGTGCTTAACCAGGCTCATCTTGAACCTGTATTCAATTTCCTAATGTAATTAGATGCTTCGATAAACCCCACCCACACTCCAATGCGTTTTCTTTTAAGCTCTCAACTTTCTAGTCAAATTGGGGATAATGTAAGTACTCTGCTTGATTGTAGAGAACCTGAAGCAATATTGGATTACAACTTTGTATTTTCTTAAGAATATTCCCCTCAGATATAAATGGGTACTTTGATTTTATCACAGGCATATTGAATCAATTAATGTTGTGTTTAATTAAAATGCTGAAGTAAAGTTAAAGTTTTAAACTATGTTTTGGAATTTGCTTTAATGAAATAGTTCTTAATTTGTCAAATAATTGATTGAACTCTACAAACATGTGAGCCTGTTTTCTTTTCTGCAAAGTTTTTACTTGTTTGAAAGTTCTTGACTGTTGTTAAATTTGGAGATAAAGTTAGAAATTCTCTGTGGTTTATACTGTGCAGATTTTTTGGCTTCCACTAAAGGAAAAACAGTAGATAATCTGTTTTGTCGTAGTTCAGTGCTGATATTTATCTGAAAATGCAAGCCAGCTGAGAAGTCTTGAAAAATAAAAAATTGTTAAATGTCTAAAATTTATGTTTATTTCTGAACCAAATGTTATACGAGAACAAATTGTTAAATACATAATGTTCTTGTATTTGTAATGTCTTTCAGCTTTCTGAGGCAGTGTGCTAAACAGCTTTCTGCTTTACTTCCTCAGAACTGGGAACCATCTTAAACTGCAGGTGCATCACATTTATCTTATAAATTCAAAAATATGGCAAAGGAAAAAAGAAATTGTTGTTAAGATATGGAACCATTACAGGAAATAGTGCCTCATGTTATCATCATTCATTTATAATCTGATCTTTCTCCATTTGCCATTGAAATCATGACCGTGCATTCGAGCTTGTTGGGGTTTGCATGGCAAAGTTGGCTAAAGACACTTGTGAATGGGAAAATAATTTTTTTTTTTTTTATGATATATCATGGGATTTAAAATTGTTCATTATTTTCACAGTGGAAATAAGAGACTCATCCAGCAAGGCACTAAGATCTCTTGCCAAGAAAATAAGAATTCTTAAAAATTATTGACTAAAAAAGGCTCAATATCCCACTGGATCAGATCCCAATTGATCAGAAAATAGATAACTTTATCTTTTTTTCAAAAGTTCAGTGGAGAAATATTAAAGATTAAATGGTCCCTGGAACCCTGAAACAAACTTTAGGGAAGATGAATCATTTTACTTTCAAATACTTTGCACTAGACTGCTAACACAAAGCAGTTTTAAGCCAAGTTTAACTATATGTGGAAGACAGATATGTAACTTCTTACCTGACTGCAATGCTAATGCTAACCTTAAAAGAGAATGAAATTAAATGCAGATTTACACCTTTCCAAACTATCATTTTTGGCAAGTGATCTAAGCAAGTTCAGAATATGCATTAAGCACATTACTCAGTGTCCTGCTACCATACACAAACATCTTCTTCTAGTATTAAAAGAAAAAGCTATCTTCTTTGCATGTTGGGTAAGAAATTAGGTGGACATAAAGGGATACAAAAAGAAGTGGAAAAATGGATTGGTGCAATTTTACACCCATTGAGAACTGGCTTTTCTTCAGTCACAAGTACAGGGAAAAGATAGTTTGTAACCAAATGTAAATGAGAAAAGAATTATCACCTCTGTAGAAACCTCTAGGCACATCTGCCTATGAGGGAATAATGAAGGTCAGTGAAGTACAGCTGCTTACAACAAGTAAAAGCTGAAATCTTTAATGGTTTAAAACTCACGCTCATGTTAATTTCTCAAATGTTTGCATGCTAGTAACAGGGAACTGTAAGAGTCACTGAACATGGTCTTCTGCTACAGAAGATCCCACATCAACTCCTGTAACTATGGCAAGTAGAACCTTGCAACATTTTTGCTTTGTCCTGGTGTTTTCGTCTCTAAGGTGGCTGGAGAACTGAAGGTGGCTGAAGTACTAATAATGAACTATTTTTCTATTGGTGCAAATTTCCTTACAGCAAGTTTGGAGCCATTTATTCTTGTGACAATGTTGATTTTAGTTCAAACAGCCCTTCTCCATCGTATACTACCCCCATTTCCCACAGTACATTGGCAGACACCTGTCACATTCCCTCTTAGCTTACCTGCTCTGAGACAAACCAATTCAAGGTTGTTTTCTTTATTTATATTATTCCAGGCTTCCCTTTGTCTATCTATTCCACTCTTCCTTATTTTGCTATCCAGAAGCAAATATAAGTTATAGATACTACAGGGTTCCCTAACTAGATATGATTGTGAGTATTCACCAGAATAAATTATCAGTTTCCAAAATACATGGACTAGAACATGTAGGCAGTTGCAAAATCATGGGGAGACATTTCCTGATACCATGTTTGTTGTCCAAGAAATCACAGTACATATATGAATATGTGTTCATATATGTATTCACAAGAGTGAATATATTCTCATTCACAAGGGTGCAGGAGTCATTTTTTGTAAGACTCTTTGGGGAAATTCTGACACTGCTTCTGCTTCCTTGGCAGGTGAAGATGCACACTGTGTCCTACATCCATTTCTTCTACTTTGGCCTGTGTTTGCTTACCTTAACCAGTTCTGTTGCTGCTGGCCCAGAAACACTCTGTGGTGCTGAGCTGGTTGATGCTCTTCAGTTCGTGTGTGGAGACAGAGGCTTTTACTTCAGTAAGTCCACGCTTTCTTTCATTTAACTGCTAAACACCTGCATGTAATCCATTGGAGTCTACAACTGCTGTAAATGAGCTTAGCTATGATCATGCAGGCTGCCAGCTAGGACTGGTATCTTATACCTGGAAGATGCTGAAGCCTTCAGTTACCATAAAGCCTCAGTGAAGAATAATGTTGTGCCTGTGTTAAACCACTCCGACTTTCTGATAAATTTTTACTTTCAGACTTGTTATTGTTTTTCACCACTTTCCAGCTGTCGCTATTTCACCTGCTGTGTTCCTGCTTTCCACTGACCTGTCACTGAAATTAAACGAATGAGAGCACATACTAAACCCAAGACACTCATGAGGCAAAACTACATGTACCTGTTATGTCAGACTACTAGTAAACACTTGAAGTACACACTTTTTCATATTAAAAACACACTAAGCTTCAACATCTGGTTTAAAAAAAACCCAAAGAGCTGGAAGGCAGCAAGCAGAAAGTTACTGCATCCAAGTATCCACATGCTTCATCATTTAAATACAGGTGGAGGAAAATTCATGCATGGTGAGATAATAAAGACTAACACCAGTACAGGCAACAGATAAAATTAACTCTGCAATAGTGAGGATCAAGAAATACTCAACATTTATGTAGTAGAAATCTATTTCTGATTTTCAGCTATTTGCCACTTTAAAAACAAATAGTTAAGAATATATTCATTCTGAATTCATTCATTCATACATTTTTTTCAAAACATGATCGAATTTGTGCTCCTGTAGCTTCTAAAGCTAGCATTTACTTTTAATGACAATATGTGCATCTCTGATATCCTTGCTATTCCTTCATGGCTGAAGTTTCTTGTCTTCTGTGCTACCATTTTTGGTTTTCTGATCATACCCACCCTATTCCTATTTATTTCTATTCATAGAGTCACTGCTTTGAATGTTTTCTCCTTGCTTGCAATAAAAACAAATTCAGACTCTTGCACTTCTAAATTACAGAAAATTCTAATCTCGTCAACATATGAACTGTAGAGATTTTCACTGTCTTCTTGGCACATTTTATTAAAGTTCAATTTGGAACCTTAGTTTTACATATGCAAAGTAATCCACTATTCACAAAAGAACTCTCCTTTTCTGTATTTAACACCTCAACTCTTGCAGATAAGCACCTACTCCAGGGTGCTGTTTAGCTTAGTATTCTGGTGCTAAACACAGTATTAAGAGAACTGGAGTCTCTCATACAGGAATTTACGTTTTCCTAAAAACTCATTAGGTGTTCATTTATATACCAAAGTCTGTTGCATTTATTAGCGGCAGAATTAGGGATTATTTGAGTGTCCTACAAATGTTTTATTGCTGGAGTGCATGTAAAGACTGTCATCTCCCCCTCCTGTTTCTGCACCAGAAAACAATGAAACAATACATCCTAAGAACAGCAGAGCAATTGTTCTTTTACTGTGTACATATCTCAGGAGTTTCTCTACCAGCAAAATGTTTGCTGCTGGTTCAGAGACCCCTCATGCTTGCTTTCCACAAGAGCAGCTGTTACTGCCCAGCAATCAGACCTACAGTTGGGTGTACTTTGTGATCCTCAAGGTAAGAGGTCATGTGAAATGCTAATCATTAGCAATAACTCTCTTTGCTTTTAGTCTCAGTTATTCTAAGGTTTCACAATCTGTTTCAAACCTCTACCCTAAGCTGGGTCATCCTTAATTTAAAACACCGTGATGGGCTTCCAGTGTTTCAAAGGAGATCATTACCTTTGCAATCTTGACCTTTATCTGCTGTCAGGTTAGACTTTCTTTCTAATCTTTGTTGTTTTCTGACATTCTGAGTTTTCACCAAAAATAATGCAACAACACTATAAATGTCGACCTTGTTTTCTATGGAAAACTATGGAAGGTTTTACTTATGAATGACCACCCTGTCTTAGGAGCCTTGCACAGTTGCAATCAATAGCCTGCAGTTGCATCACTCAACAGGAATGTTATGAAGCTGACATGTATGTGACCCCTTGGATGCCAAGTAATGTGTGTGCTCTACCTGGCTACTTCTTATTTATGAGGAAGAAAATTAATCTGTTTTAACCCTCTTCCTCTTATTTGTTAGAGTTCAATCTAAAATACAGAACTAGAGAAAAGTAAGCCCAGTAACATTGGTAAAACAAATTGAGATCTTCATTTTAAATGTACTACAACTAAATGCAGCATACTATCAGAAGTTAAAAATGTTGCATGATCTCTTGGGACTTTTTAGGAATGCCACGTCATTTGCAGAGGTAAAAACCCAAAGAAATTTTTATTTTGTTATAAAGAGTATGTCAATAAAAGTAGTATTTTAAGCCTTCTTTTCTCATACTCTGGTTCCTTTAAATAAAGTATAATCAATAGTAGTATTTGCCTTTAACTTGCACAGGAAATAGCTGTAAAATTATTTTTCTTCCATCATTCTGTATTTCACTAGAGACTCCAAATTTAAAGAATACCTTTTGGCTGAGGTGAAATTCCTGGTTCAGAGTCAAGGTCAAAGCTTCTGGCTATTCCTTGGGAGTTGTGGGTGGAAGTGAAGATAGAAATAATTGTATTACTTTCTGTTGAAACTCTGTACTTCCCAGCCACAAGGCTATATCTATGGCTAGGACTGGGAGACAAAAATTTCCTTTATACAATCTACTCTGCCCAACTTTCTAGCTATAAAAGGAAACTCTTTACAGCTTCTGAGGAGATGCCCCAGCTGCTTGCCACACACAAGGAGAAGTACTGACTTCAAGAGAAAGTCAAATGTGATTTCTACCACTCTCTTTTTTCTTTAGATAGACTGACAAGGAGCATTTTTCAAAGTTTTTAGCGGAAAACACAGCACAAATCCCCAAACTGAGCATCTACTTTTTTTCCTTGGTGACATTTACCTCCAACCAGCACTGGCTACTCCTCAGACAGCTTTTTGTCTCCTATGATTTACCAGAGAAAAGCAGATTGTTGCCACTTTTTATTTAGGGACATCTCTCTAGGAGAATTTCTGCCCCTGAGGCTCGTGTGTGCTAGGTATTGTTAAGAGAAGGTGACAGAGAACCTGGCCACAGCTACAAAAGTAGCTACACTTGAACACAGCTTTTCTCAATGTTTTTCCAATCTCAAAACCTCTGGATCCGACAGTCATGAAGCCAAGTGGAATGGCTTCAACATTCACTTAAATTTTAATGTCCAGGAAGGTCTACCATGGTACGCTCATTACAAAACAATGCTGAGAGGAGAGAATGTTGGAAAAACTTAAAGGAGAAATTATAGGAAACTTACAAAATTGAAAGCCTAAGAGGGGGATTTTTTTTTTTCTTGGAATAGTCCAGTCTTATCACAGGAATTTACTTTGTAAATTACTCAAAAAAAATTCTTTATAAATGCAGAATTTGCTGAACAATCATTCATTCTTGTTCATGCTGTTTTCTCAGGGCTGTTACTACCATGAGATCTAGTAGTTTGTTCTAAGGATAAAATGCTTTATTCTTTTTTATCTAGTTTCTTCTCCTTTGGAAACATACCTTTTCCTTTTACAATAAATACATAGCAGTCTTGCTAACAATACACAAGAACCAATAAAGAAAGAGATTTCTTAATTCATTAGACATTTTCAATCTTCTAATTTCTAAAGCCCAAGTTAGATGGCAATACTTACTTGAAACCATGACAATCAACTTCATGAATTTAAACTCCACCTTTTTTTCCTGCCAAAAACACTGCTTTAGTCTTGTGGTGAAACTTCTGAACCATCACTTGCATAAAAAAGAAAAGAGCTGAATTTAGGTACCTGAGACACTGGAGTTCCTCTGATATTCTTCAGAGAATGGAGAATGATCTAGCACATGCTTCCATGTGTAAAGCAGTGAATCCCATAAAAGATGGGCTTTTCTGGCATCCAGCTTAATATTCCCTGTGTCAACTGCTTTGAGGAGAATTACTGCAGATTTTTACTACTATTTTTTTTTTTTTGCCCACTAAGACAATCAAAATTGTGTGCTGTCCTTGGGAAAACCTCAGCTGTGAACAGTGTAAGACTATTAGTTTATAATCATCAGAAAATCAAGATAAACCCGTGAACATAATTTTGGGTAACAAGAGCTGTCGTGAGATTCCCATTGCTTTGTAGAGCTAAGGTGTATGTGGAGGAATTGCTGCCTTAGAAAAGAGGAAACAAGCAGCAGAGCAATAGGCAATTACGTTTTGCTTCTCCCATTTCCCTCTTGTTAAGAGCTTCTTGTTTACTTTAGGAAGTCTGCTTTTAAGATGTTATTAAAGTTTCTAGGCCTGTCAAACCTATCAGCATAATTACAAGAGATGGCATGGCACTCAGTTCTTTAAGCACTCCATACCTGTAGGAGCTATGAGTCATTAGCTCCTCTCTGCATCCCTGATTGAAAGGAATGTTAATGTTAGAAGCCCAGCAGAGGCATGCTGAAAAGCTGCCACGGACACACACAGACTCTGGTGTCACTGACAGTCTTACAAATCTTTGCAAACATATGCTGGTCATCTTGGCTGTGTTCACACAGAAAGATCTGAGAGTGTTTTTAAGTTCCTTGGTCTGGCTACATGCCCCACTCACGTCCAAATATTATATCTATGGAAGATTTGAGTGTATTCCTCTATCTATCCCTAGGTTCCTTACCTCTCACGAGAAAGCCAACCTGGAAAGGAGCTCAGGTATGCTTTAGCCAGGTCTGCAGGGTCAGTGCTCAGGGAACAAGAACTATAGGCACAGCTACAGATGTATCTGTATAAGAAAGAAAACAATTCTGGCTTCTGGAATGATATCACTGTGCTGTCAAACAGCTGACACAAGTTTGATGTGTGCTTTGTTGCCCCTGGTAGTAAACACTGAGGAAGATCTCTGAAAATAAGCCAGTCTTTGAAAGAATTATCTCATTTTTTACCACTTTAAGAAAGGATAATAAAGGTTAACCTTAGTTTAGTGTGGTTAATCTCCTTAAGTTACCTCCTTAATAACAGAGAGAGA